CGTCGTCCCAGCCACCACAGCCCCAGCATCCCCAGGCAGTGGACAGCAATGGAAGGCCCATATCCAGTCCCACTTCTGCTGCTGACTCAGGGTGTCCACCTCTATAAAATGAGCCGTTTGGGTGTGATCATTTCAAATCTATCTAGAATGATGCAGGAGTCTCAAATTCCCCAGGAAGCCCTGGGCAGGGGTGACGGGCTTTGACCCCAGGGACAGTGGCCTAGTGTGAACCTCCTTGTAGGTCACAGTCGTTATTACAGAGCTTGTGTGGGAAGTAGTCTGAGGCTGCGATACCCAGCACTGGGGCAAAATGGGCACTCAAGGGAAGGCATGCCCTGTGCAGTGTGGAGACAGACAACGACCTCCCCTCTCCCTTCCGCTCACTCCCCATGTCCCCCAGGCCTCAGCTGGAGGTGGACACAGGGCTGCAGCCCCACCCAGGCGGGTGGAGCAACAGACATAGTGCTCATCACAGCTGGCTGGACAGGGGAGACTGTTTATTCTCTGATGTCAGAACATCACAGACAATCGGGGAATTTGGCTGCTGGCAGCTCCTGGATGTGAGGCCTCGAAGAAGTCAACCTAATCAGAACAGGCCGATGCCCACACTCTGAGCAGGCAGCAGGGGTGCCAGGGAGGGGCTGACCCTCCCTGCCCCACATGTGGTGCCACGTGAACCTCTGAGCCTGTTAGGTCTGTGGTTACGGGGCTGCAAAGGTCACTGCAGCTGAGCCCAGAGCTCTTGTGCATAGTGTGGGCATCGGGTCCCACTCCCAGGTGCCCTGGGGATGTGGCCGAGCTAACACTCTTAGCCTGGGAGGGGAGCTGATTTTGCACCCCCTGGTATGGAGGGTTTGACTCCAATGGCCCCAGCCTTCCTTTTTCTCCTCCCACCCTCTCAAAGCTCCTCTCACCCTTGACTCTCTAGTGGTCTCTATCTCACCACACACACCCCCACATTCATTATTAAAACCTGTTCTTAGCAAAGGCCGCCATCAGCCTTTTACATATGTGTTTGAATAAGCCTCAAATCAATATTTTAAACCTCTCTCAGGCCATTTGCATTTTAAGTCTAAGCCTTTTTAGTGAAACAAAGGCTCTGTCCCGCCTACCTTCCACTATTCCCAAAGGGACTTCTGGGGGAAGCAGAAGTCCCCAAAGGGAAAGCAAATGGAACTCCCTGAAATCAAGCAGTAGATGTTCACAACCTTCTCTGAAACCTTCATTCACCTGCACTGCCTCGCCAACACACCTTCTCTCAAATCTAACTTCAATCCCCTTTGCTGATATTTAATCATGACCTTCTACTATGGCAGGAGTTTGGAGATCCTTTCATCCATTTTTTCACTCAACAAACTCTTCTCAAGTGTCCACAGTTATCTTCAATACTCAGATATACAGAGACAACTTGGATGCTGCCCTTCGGCAGCTTGCAGTTGAATTGAATGCAGAAAACATCCCTAAGCAAAGCCCAGCCCACTAAGTTGTATACAGTAGGAATTCAATAAATGCTGCTTTCCCTTCTCGGGGCTGCACTATATGGACGCTGAAGAGAGACACCGGAAATTTTCTAAAAACCCTCCCCAGGTGGACAAGAGTGCCCGCCGGAGTGAGTGGTTTCTCTCTTGGTCCAGAGCACCATGATTTGCCTGGGATGTTCCTAACACCAGGTTGCAGAGGCACGCGAAGGAGAGGGGCTTATTCTAACCAGATCAGGGCTAGGGCAGCCCGGGACACTGTCTCCATGGTGCAGAGCCCCAGACAGTTCGGAAACAAACAGAAACCCATCCAGAGGGAAGAGACTGACAAAAGCAAAAACAAACAAAGACCAAGAGATGGAAAACTCAGGAGGTGGGGCAGGGTGGAGATGAGGGGACAGGGGAGGTGGGTGTGGGCTTCAGAGGGGACTTAGGGAGGGGCCTGGTCCTGGGATTTTTGTGTATGTGAGGAAGGAATCCAGTCCTACACCCCCCACCCAAGAATCACCATGGCAACAGGGAGGGTGAATGCTGCTGATTCCAAGCCAACACAAACCTCCTGGGTTTAGCAGCAGGAATGGACTCAGATGCATGGGGCCATGTTCTAAAGAAAAATATCTGAATTGGGCTCTTTAAATCACAAACTCCCCATCCATTCCTGGTTTGGCAGGCGATCAGTGTTTAACGAAGTGAACTAATAAGAAACAACAGTGAGCCCCATCCCTACCCCACACGGAAGCCCACAGAATAAAAGCCCTTCCCTTTGCGGTGGAAACTGACAGCTCACAGGATTCTCAGCACCTCCCAGAAGCAGGTACCTCACCCGTAGGAGACTCACTTGCCACCCCTCCCAAAGCTGTCCTTGACAGCGACTTTGGTGACACAGGGCTGATGGGACTGCTTTCACAAGACCAAGGCAGCTGGAGCTCCCATGTGAGGAGGTTCCAACCAAACTACCATCCAGCCTCCTCTGCCGTCAGCTGCCTGGTGAAGCTCTTGGCCCAGGGGGTTGGTCAGCACAGACACCGCTCCTTCCTCCTCCAGGAAAGTGTCTGCAGATGAGCCTGCTGAACCACTTCCAACACCCAAATGTGCCTTTGCCTGGAGCTGCCTGGCCTCTGGATGTAGGGTTGGTGCTACATAGAACTGAGTCTTTAATGTCCCTCCTACCTCTCTGTTCCCAGGGACGCAGAGACCTCATGCTCTCCCCCACGACCCTAAGTCTGGGCTGACTCACCCATTAGGCATTACAGGCACAACGCCTAAGGCCCACGTGGTTTAAAGTCTTCACTTCCTTTATAATCAGAAGGAAAGAATGAGCTTTCAAGTGGAAGAAAACATTTTAGTATATAATAATATATTCACCTCTACACCAATGTAGTTATATAATATAATTTTAAGAAGTATTTTTTTTAATTGAGGAAGGGACCCACGAAGGCAGAAGTTCCCAGGGCCCGAGAAAGTCGTCACGCAGGCCCACTCTAGTCTTCCCTCCTGCCAGCGCCGGTCCTCAGATGCCAGGGGCTTCCTTCCCCACGCCGGATGCGTCTGTCCAGTGGCCCCCACCAGCCTGGGAGCTCCTGGAGGGCAGGCCACCCTCCACTCACCCTCACGTCCCCCACGAACTCAGTGCCTGTTTCGCTGTCACATCAGATACTGCACTGCTTCTTTTTTTGGTGGGGGGTGGTGCGCAGGAAAAAAGGGCTAGGTTGTAAATAAACACTGCTTAAGGACCCCTGGAAACCATGCATAACATTTCACATTTACGCAGTCGGACTTTGTCCACATCGCCTACCCTGAACTCCTCCGGCCAAGTTCCCCAGTGAACTCCAACTCAGTAAATCCAATAGAAGCCTCTCAGGTATAACCTTGACTATGCAGCAACATTTGACACTGCTCGTCAAGCCCCCCTTGCTGGCTTCTGCGACACTGTTGTCTTGGTTTCCTCCTACTTCCCTGGATATTCCTGCTGTCTCCTTTGAGTGCTCATTTCCTCTGTTAGGCCACTAAAAACAGCCGGTCAGAGAAAGACAAACACCACACAATCTCACTGATATGTGGAATCTAATGAACAAAATAAGGTGGCAAACAAAGTCAAGCCAGAGGCATGGACACAAGGAACAGAAGGACAAACCTCGGAAGGGAAGGTGGGGAGACTGCAAGAGATTAGTCAAAGAACACACGTGCGAACATGCAGAGCCCACGGATGCAGACAACGGTGTGGTGAAGGCTGAGGAGGGGGCGGCTGGGTGAAGGGGGGCACGGGGGGAAATTAGGGATATCTGTAATATTACTATCAACAATCTTAAAAAACAGATTTTTAGAAAGATACAGGACAAAAAAACGAGAGTGACGACAACAATGATGACAACGACAGCACTGAAACATACCAGGTACTTACTCTGTGCTGCACACTATTGTACGCATCAGTTCTTTCAAACCTCGAAATAACCCTAAATCCATTCTTCAACCACTGGCCAGTGGATTGAGCGCAGGCCTGCGAACCAAACAACCTCGGTTTGATTCCCAGTCAGGGCACATGCCTGGGATGCAGGCCAGTTCCCAGCAAGGGACACACGAGACGAAACCACACATTGATATTTCTCCCCCTCTCTCCCTCCCTTCCCCTCTAAAGATAAATAAATACAATCTTTTTAAAAATTAAAAAAAAAAAAAAAAACAACCAAATCTGACCTCCCATTTAAAAGCTCTACTTGAAACCTTCTAGCAGCTTCCGCAGCCCAAGTGTGTCAGGTCCTTGAGAAGCCGGCCCTGCCTCCTCTCCAGCCCCGCTTCTCACCAGACCTCTTCCCAGGCCCCTCCTGCTCTGGGCTTCTCCACCGAGAACTCGAGGGCTCTGCCGTGCTGTTCCCACTGCCTGAAATACTCCTCCTCGACCTCGCCGCCAACCACTGCTGGCTCTTTCAGGTTTCAGTGGAACATCACCTGTTCTAGGAGCCAGGGCTGGGGCTCCAGGGTTTGTTGTGTGGCGGTTACTAGACCAACACTGAACCCAGCCTGCCAGGTTCAAGCCCCGGCTCTACCACTCCCTAGCCAAGTAACCTGGGGCAAGCTATTTAAAATCTCTGTACCTTTGGTTTTTCACCTGTTGTGAGGATTAAAGAACTCAGGACAGAAGGCACAATGCAGGGCCACGTGTGTCACTTCCATACTTCCAAGCCATGTTAAGACGTTTTGCCAAGTATTTTCCAAAAGTCCACTGTAATAATCCCACATAATGTCAGCGTGGCTGCTGAGAACGTCCACCTGCCTGCCCAGCCCGACCGCCAGCTCGGCGAGGCCGGGGACTTCTTGATCTCGGTCCCGCCCCATTTCCAGTGCCTGGCGCACAGCAGGCGTTCACATTTCATGTATCGATGAGTAGAAATCCCACACCTACCAGACAGTCTGATGACATATGCTTTCCAGCGAACAGCCATCTCAAGCAAGGAGGGAAAAGGAGAGTCAGATTTTTAGCAAAAGTGCATACATGGCAGACCCAGGCTGGGACTAAACGCAGTCACAAAGACGACCTGGTGATTAGGAAAATACTTTTATTATTTCTGAAATGTTCCAGTAGTCAATGTAAAAACCATGATAGCGGCTTTTTCACAACTTCACAAATTATGGAAAAATGACTTTGCCCCTTCTTTATAGAAATCTACCCCCCGCCCCCCACCTCCAAATGAGACGGGGCTCCATCGTGACTGAGACGGGGCAGGAGGGAGGGCACAGCAAGTGGACCCGAGGCTCTTCCTGCACATGTGCAGCCCAGGCTGAGTCCCAAAGACCCGTGACCCCTCTGGGGGAGGCTCGGTCTACACACAGCAGTGACACACTGAGGCCGGCCTCTGTCTTGAAGGACGGCAGTGACGGAGGGCCCGAGCGTGGCACTCGTGGCTGGCAGGCAGGCCGCAGTGGAGGCCGCGTGGTGAGAACCAGATCGGGAGGCAGGCCTGCAGCTGTAATCAGTGGTTGGCGACTTTTTTAAAAAGACAACTTGAGTTGCTCACTGCTAGGTTTTTATCTTTCATCGGATCTGACTCCTTCCTTTCTCATCCACAGTCAGGCACAGGGGTTATGGCTGTAGCAGAATGCTGTTTGTTGATTTGAGAAAAACTGAAAATGTTTTGTACTCACAAAGGCAGATGGAATTCAAAAACCGTCCCACCAATTTTTATGAGAAACATGACTTTCCTCCTGAGTGTCTCAAGTCAAAACAAGGCAACCGCCTCGTGATTTATCGCCCCCACTACACATTTTCCACCGTCCAGAAGGCATTGGAGAGAGGGCCAGAGTCCTCCAGGAGCGATTGTAAACATACCGCTGACAGCTCGGACACTTTGTTTTCAAACGCAGCAGGACTTTTTCCTTTGGCCCTGATCGAAAAGCCTACTCCCTAGGACTGTTTAGGCAGGAGCAGACAGGAGGGCTCCCTGAAACCTATGAGTTGGGGACCGGCAGTCCCTGTTGGCCGGGGTGTGGCTGGGAGCATCACAAAGGCAATCGGAACATTTATGGCATATGAAAACTGTCCTGTGGTCCCCAACTGGCCCCCAGGCTCAACCTGACCAGGCTCAGTCTCAGACGTGGGACACAGGAGGTACAGCACACGTTGTCCTAAGGCACACGGCTGAGGCAGTCCCCACGCCAGGCCCCAAAAGATTATCTTTTTGCACGATTCCAGAAGTGCTGGAAAGCCGAGGAGTTGAGAACACTCACTATGAGCAGCAGCAGCAGATACAGGGAAATCGAGACCATAAACCAATGGCTGGAAAACCAGGACAGCTGGCTTGAAGCCCTGCTTAAGGGGGGGAAAAAGAGTGATATTGGCAAAACGTGGAAAACATTTTTTAAAAGTGTATGCAACAACTTCTGGCTCAGAGATGAAATGATGAATTTCACCCTCTGAGTGAGCCATGAAATGAAGCTTCGTGCGTTCTCCTTTGCTCAAGAAATCTGAGGCTGTTTGCCCTGGCACTGACGTGCCTTTCACCAGAACATGTTCTAAATGTACAAAGACAGCTATGCAGTGAGCTCATCCTGATCTTCCCTTTTAGGGCTGCTCCTCTTGGACCTTCTCTAGCCCGTCTTTTCTTATGCAGGGCTTTGGTACCTAGAAGAATGACCTCGCTCAAGGTGTCTGCCCAGACGGCAGCAGGGGGCAGGTTACTTAGCAAAGTCTTTTCACTTTCAGACACGTACAGATACCAGCCCACACTGGGGAAATCCTCTTTGGCCCACTGGGGCACGATCTCTAAACCGTCCAAGCAGGCACTGAAGAGACATGGGAAGGAATGCAAATTTCAAGTACAAAAAGCCAGGTGATTTTAAACCAAGGGATCATGTCCCCCGGACTCAGGAGCCCTGCACAAATTTCCCAAATTTGAGGGGAGGGCGGGTTTTTGCTGGTTTATGCAGTCCTGAAGCACGAAAACCACTGGTGTGTACCAGCAGGAGGGGGGAGTACTCAAGTGACCCTCTTGCCTGCTCGCCTGCTGCCCCTCCCCAGGAGAAGCCAGACTCCAACCCTGTGACGAGATCCCAAAGTGACCCTGATCCTGGAGGACCCTGTGTACAAACCACCTGCCACCTGCTGAGGGGTGACGGGACACCCACCAGGGCTCTTAGAAGCCGGAAGACCCCACCTGCTGTTGGGTTCACTATGTTCTGTTTAAAGATGAGGATGAAACATCTCAGATCCGGAGAGGGGAAGGTGGTGATTCAACAGCCACCATGGAAAGTGACCAAGCTGGGCAGCACATGTCCCAGCCAGTGTCCAGTCACACCCTGCTCCTCAGTTTGGTCTAATCAGTGGGTTTGAGACTGAAATCAGGAGCCCAGGTGGCTGAGGGGCCACACAGTCTGGGGCAGCCAGTCTGGCTTCACTCGGTTCCTCCTGTGATTTGTGTTTAACTCTGTCTTCTTCGTTAGAGTGCACAGCCCCCCCAAGCGCCAGGACCACACCTGATCCAACCTTACCCTCATGCCTCACCTCGTCCAGCACAGCGATTTACATGCTTTATGCACAGCGAGGCTTTCGGCTGGGGGCAGGGGGTGCTGATAACAAAGAACCCAACACCTTCAGTGCAGCCCCCAGTTCCCTCCGGGGCCTCAGCAGGGCCCGTCCGCCTTACCTCTTGGCCTGCTTCTGTGAGTACACCAGCAGGTACTTCACCCGCAGGAGCTGGTTGTTGGTGACCACAAAGTACTTTGGAGGGATGTCTCCCCCTTCGCTGTGCTTGATCCTCGCTCTTTTGCGATCCATCTCCTTGGAATCTGAGTAAGAAGAGCAAAGCACAACTTCACTGGCAGGTGGGGAGAGGAATACACTAATGAAGGGAGCGAATTATGAGTATAAATGGGTCAGGGGTCCTAGCAGGCGGAGGAACGGGCCTGTGTGTATACGTGAAGCACAGTACAAAACAGGAGAATCGACAGAGCCAAACAGGAGAAGGAAAAAGAAGAAATAGGAAAATAAAAGAGGTACAAGGGGGAAAACAAACCTGAAATGGGGAAAGCAGAGGAAAGCAGCAGATCCATCCCCAAAACAAAATAATCCGGGCCACGGAGCCGGACCGGGCCTGAGCCGTGCCCCTCGGCAGGCGTTTTAAATTGACCGCTCTGGACTCCAGCTCCTCAGAACCCATCTCGTCAGAACCCATCTCCTGCTCTCCGTCCCAAGGCTTGTTTAAACAAGCAAACAGGAACAAAGCTTTTCTTTGAACAACATGAAACTCTTTAGCAATTTTAAAAAAGGCCAAAGTTGTGTGACATCAGACACTGTGAGGGTTTGTTTTCATGTTTAATGTCACGATTTGCAAACTTCCTAAGAATTATAAATGCAAATGTTCACGTTGTCTGGTTTAGGAGGGCAGCGTCAGGCCTGGGCCTGTCCCTCAGAGTTCTAGTTGTTTTACATTAGGAGCCAGGAACGGACGGTTTTTCCTTTTCTTGGTGGAACCAACAGACCCCTTCTGGAGACTAGAACAACAGTTCTGTGACTCTTCAACCTTTGCAGGCAAAACAGCGGGGGGTACTGGCCAAGTAATCTGAGGGACATGTCAGGGAAGAGGACTGCGGTGGCCAGTTGGTCACCTGTTCCCGGAGGCCTGGGCTTTTCTGCCTACAGCTCAGCAGCTGCTCACATCCTCCAGGAGCCCCAGCACACGCCGGAGCAGGTCTAAACACACCTCCAGCTTCGGTGTGGCAAATATTTATTGAATGTCAAGTACATTCCAGCTCCCTACTGATAGCAGGTGCCCAAAACGGAGTGAGACCCACTTCCCGCCCTCAAAGAACCCATACTCCGGCCGCGCACACTCCCTTCAGCTATCACACTCACTTCCTCCCCAGAGCTTGCTCCGAGCATCGGGACCCAGGAGGGCAGCTCCTTCCTCTGTGCTGCCCCGTGGATCCCATCAGCCCCCTCACCTGGCACACTCTACCTACCACCCTGTGGTGCGTGATACCTTTTCCACTGTGCAGTTCACAGGGAGACTGCTCCCCACTTGAAGGCAGACCCCTGTCCTGCATGGCTCTGGACTCAGCCCATCCCTTGGCATGCAATGCCAACAGCTGGGCCTACAGCAAGAGCCTGCCCACCCTGAGGCTTGCAGCCCAGGTCTGGGCCAAGTGCTCACTCACCTTTCCTCTTGGTTTGGCACTTGACGTCTGGATGGTCAATGACCTCGCACACAGCCACGCAGCTGAGGATGGGGCCGAGGAGGCTACGCTGCCACCCGTGGCCGTGGGGGCTATAAATGAGGGCCAGGCTCAAGTCGCTGGTGAGGTAGGTCCCTTCCCCGAACAAGGACGTCTAGAATGGCAGGGACCATCAGAAAAGAGACAAGGCTGGGTAAATATTGACTGGCACAGCAAGATGACACAGGTCTTTCTTCAATAGAGTCATAAACACAAAATTTTCAAGCCTCTTTTTCTCCCTGCAAAAGGTATAAGATCAAATAATCCTATGACATCATCACAGGGTTATTACTAAACACATTCCTACCCAATGACAGTTTAACTGACTGCAGGTATACCTGACTAGGCTGACAAACTAGTAGAAGTTCCTGAGGTCAAGGTTGAGTGAAAAAAACATAAGAGTCCAAACAGAGCTGAGTTTGAATCCTGCTATACCTCCAACAAGCTGGCAAGTTATATCGGCTCTCTGGGTCTCAGTTTCTACATTTACAAAACAGTGATAATGGTATTTCCTTCATTAGGCCGTGGGTGGGGACTCAGTGAGGTAGTGTGTAGAAAGCAACGGTCAGGACACCTGGCACACGGGAGGCGAGGACACTCTGTCGCAGGACCTATGTCATGGCATACAGAGTCACTCCTGCCACATGAATGCGGCAGCAGCACTGAGGGGCTTGCAGGAGCGAAGCCACACCCCTGAGTACTGAGGCGGGACCGCGCCTGCAGGGGGAAGTAACCTGAGCCATTAGAGAATAAATGACTCTCTCAGACCAGAAACCGTAACTGAACAAGGAAGGCCCACAGAAGGGGCAGGATTCGGTGAACTCTTTGTACTGGTGTTGACCTAGGAAATGTCTAGAAGGCAGCTCCCAGGTGGTACATGCTAGCTAACCTGGGGCCCTCAGTGAGGCAGCATGCCAAGCGAGAGAGAAGGGTATCAAGTTGAACACCTCAAGCAGAAGGCACAGCAAACACATCCTTTGTCCATGGCAGATGTCGATCAACGACCGTGATGGCCAACATAACGACATCAGCCCTGGTACTCATTTTCACTGACTCAGAATCCTTCTCAACACAGCATTCCAGGCAGCTGCTACCCAGAATAGCTGCTATTCTGGGGTCACGGCATCAGCATCCCAAGACGATGAGTGGACTCTAACAGCACACTGAACATCCTGTGCTTAGGAATTGGGAAATGTCCTATTCGGTGGCACCAGACTCCCCCAATTCCAAGCCAGTGAAGCAAAGCTTGGGGGAAATGAAACGAGCCTTTGCGAGGCCCCTTGCTGGGTTAGGCAGACCTTCAACGAAGACAATGATGTCCTCTGGTCTGACCCCACGTCCATTCTCCCTCTGTGCCTGCTATATACATGCCCGTCCCCAGACCCAAGAACCGAGAGCATGGCTGCAGCGAGCAGAAGAGTGGGAAACGCGGCGTCTCTTTACCATGACAACAGCCTCCCAGCGTCAGCTGGCCGGCCCCTCACTGAGAACCCAGACAAGAGGGGGCCGGAAGAGCAGCCACTTCACCGAAGGACTCTGATGAGTCGCCACAAAGCAGCCAACTACCGGGCACACTGAGGCGAAGGCCCGGTGTGTGCGACTGACCCGCAGGCAACTTCTCCAGGCTGACTCTGCCGAGCAGGGAGGCCCCAGATTCCAGTAGCCTGGCCGGAACAATCTGCCGAGAGCCAGTGTAAACAAGCCCGTCATCCTCAACAAAACTCAACCTCACTCCTCGGCTGCTGCAGCACTGTCGGGAAGGCTCTCCCGCTGTAGCTCAGGGAGCCAGCCCCTCAGGGCAGGCGCCGTCCCCACATCCCCACGGGGGAAGGGCTGCGGCACTCCGACTCCCCTGGTCCCTCTCCATCAGCCTAGGAAAGCAGAGTCCTCTTGGTGCTTAGTACAGAGACGGCCCTCGGCATACACGAACTGTTTCAATCCTCCCAGTACATCAGGGGTGGGTCATGGCGTCCCATTTTACAGATGAGGACACTGAGACCCAGAGAGTTTAAGGGGCCTTTTGGGCTCCTGCCTGCACACTTTCTTCTACACTTCACTGAGAGACAAAAAAGTGGCAGCAGAGAAGGGGTGGGTGGCACTGCTTTGCAAGGGAGGGAGCGAAAGGGAGGCAGCAAGCTCAAGGTGGGAGGGGAACGGCCTCTCCAAGGGCCCCTACACCAGTGCTCCCCAAACCCCAACATGCAAGTGAATCCCCTGGGGAGCCTGTTCAAGTGCCGTTTCACATCAGGTGGCCTGGGCTGGGCCCTGGGATTTTACTAGTGCAACAAGCTCCCAGGCGACACAGACGCCACAGGGCCCAGAACCATACGCAGTGAGTGTGAGCGCTGCCCACACTCGGGGGTCGCCTGGTGAGCCTTTACAGCCTGCTGCCCGTGTCTGCACCCCACTCCCAGAGGTTCTCACTGAGCTGGTCTGAGATGCAGCCAGGCAGGGGGATTTTACAAGCTCTCCCAGGGATTCTAAATGTGCAGCCAAGGTGGGAACCATCTGTAAGTCCAGCTTCTCAAACTGTGATCAGTACAGGAATCACCTGGAGATCTTGTTAAAGTGCAGGTTCTGATTCCCGAAGGTCCTGAGTGAGCCTGGGATTCTGCATTTTCACAGGCTCCCTGCTGCTGCTGGTCTGCAGACCACACTTTGATTGGCAAGGACTTAGTGACCTGACCCCTCCCTGGCCCCTCCCTGGCCCTCACCAGCTCGGACCTGCCCCGCGCCCCCAAGCCAGCAGGTGCAGGCCCCACCTTGTTCAGGTGGCAGTGCAGGCCATTGTGGAGGATGGAATGGAAGTTTTCTAGGCGGCTCCCGTGGAAGGCGTAGATTAGGTCTCGGTCTCCTTTGGTCTCATAAAATTTGGCATTTGCTGGGTCAGAGTACTCGATCTCAAATAGGAAGTCCGGCATGGGAACGGGAGTGTGAGGGGCACCGGTCAGCTTTTGGATCTTTTCAAACTGGAAAACACAAAGGGAGGGGCAATTTTATTTGGGATGCTGGTAAAACGAGCTGCCAAAATGGCCTCCTAAAGCCTTGGGCTTAAGTCCAGTGGACTCTGCTCACGGAAACGAATGGTTTCATGAGGATAAAGACATCAATTTTAAATAAGCTCCGAGCTTATAGCTCAAGACTGCCTTCCTCTAATAATGGTTTTACCCCTGTAATAGGCCGAGAAGCCTGCACTGCTCCCTCTAACTAACGATCACTTCTAATTTTCGTAACATGTGCACATCTGATTCCTGTATCCCACCTTTACAATCCGCTCAGCAGGTAAAAAGGTGTGATAAATGGCAAAAATGGCCACATTCTGTTCTTCCCACCCCTCCACAATGTGACTTTGCAGGTGGAATTCCACCGAGTTTCCATAAAGAGATGGACACTATTTCTACACCCCTTGAATCTGGGCTTGGCCATGTGACTTGGCTTGGCCAATGGGACTTTTGTAAACATATGACAAACAGAGACTTGAAAAGGACTTGCCCTTCTTGCCTGCTGCTGGGACCCCTTCCCCCTTCACGGCTATGTGAACAAGCCCTGCTAGCCTTTAGGCGGATGACAGCCTCAGAGAGGAAGGCCCCACCCACTGCAGCCATCCCAGCTGAAGCCCCAGACAGATAAGGGAGGCTACCCTAAGTCATCCAGCCCTAGGAGCCAGTCCCACCCAGAAGAACCACCCAATCAATACACAGAATCATGAGGAACAATCATTGTTATTTTAAGCCACTAGGTTTTGGGGATGGTTTGTTATACAGCAAAAACTAATTAATACAGAATGGTGAACTCCTTCCTGAGGGGCAGTAATCTTTTTCAGGGCATAGATTACATTATTTCAGTGATTTCCAAACAATAAGTCACAGTCTATGGTGAAGTTTTTTCTGGGTTGTGATCAAATAAGAAAAATTAAGGCGCTCTGGCTGGTATAGCTCAGTGGATTGAGCACAGGCCTGCGAACCAAAGGGTCACCTGTTCGATTCCCAGTCAGGGCACATGCCTGGGGTGCAGACCAGGTCCCCAGTGGGGGGCGCATAAGAGGCAACCTCACATTGATGTTTCCCTCTCTCCCTCCCTTCCCTTCTCTAAAACTAACTAAATAAAATCTTTTAAAAAGAAAAAGGAAAATTAGGGCCATGTAACAGATATAGTTATACTACTTTCAGGTTGCCATGATCCTCTCTTTGGAAGGACTGTTCCATATTCATGGTCAGGGCCCTCCTCCTTTTTTGGTGTTAAAACATCCTTTTATAAGATGATGATTCATGACTGACTCATGTCTTTGCTTGGGCACAATAAAAAGCAGGTAACCTTGGGTGCCAACAATCCATATTTTTATGGAAGTTAACTGGTCCATAACCAAAAGCCAGGGAACCACTGTGTGAGCAACTTTACCTGCAGCGACATCTAGGAGGTGCCTGATGCCCAATGAATAAATGAGTCTTGACTTAACCGTTGACAAAGCTGAAACCCAGAGACCCATGAGGGTTAGCAGCCCAGCCTGGACCTGACGGTGGACCTCCCGACACGCCCGCTCCAGGGCTCCCTGTGTTACTTTCCCGTCCGACACAGACGGGTGTCCGTAGACACCAGAATTCAGGACATCAAATTCTTTGCCACTTAAAGAGGATTTCTGTCTTTAGCAGAAGCTTGTAACACTGAGTGCTCTTAAATTAAAATTGATTCACCAAGTGAAGAAGAGTAGAGATAAACCCCTGCTACCTTTCAGAGGAAAGAGCACCAGACTGGGCATCTGCCATCCCGCACTCTGGCCCTTGTCATCCCAGCCTGCCCCTGGGAGATCCAGCCAGGCAAGGGACACCGAATTATGGAATGTCTGGTCTATGCCAAAAACCATACTGGGAGTGACACACATTCTATTATAGCTCCCCTCTGAGTAACTGTTGCTATTCTCAATTGGAAAAAGGAGATCCACTTATGGATGGGAGAGGAATTTGAACCCAGAGCCCGGACTTTTCCATAACTTCACACTCTGCCTCTCTGTTTCCTAACAATCGGATTGGGCCACTGTTTCTGAAGGTGTGGTCAAGGGTCTGCCCTCATCAGAATTACCTGCAGTGCTTGTGACACCCAACATCCACTGAGCCCTCAGTACGTGTCCTCCTTAGATGTTGTTCTAAATGTGAAAATTCATTCAAATTTCACTGCCATTTTCCTGATGGAAGTGCGCTATTCACACCCCCATTTTATAGATGAGGAAACTGAGGTACTGAAATGAACCAAGAAGCCTGCTCAAGGTCACATAGCAAGTAGGAGAGAGAACACAGCTTTGCACTTCCAGTGCGCAAGTTCCTGGGCCCCACTTCCGACACAGATTCAGAATCTCCCCACTCCCGACACAGATTCAGAATCTCTGGGGGCCGGTCCCAGGACTCTGCATTTGCAACAAGCTCCCCCGGTCCTTTGGTGCACAAGGAGGTCCCTAGGATCACAGGTTCCTAGGGACCAAAGCCTCACCTCTGACTTCCCTGTACTGTGGACTGTCAGGACCTTTGAGGATAAAATCCAGTTCAGCAGGTCCCAGGCCCATTTGTCTCTGTCTTCGGAGGACTGCAGAAGCTCTTTCAGGTTGGGTAACTTGCTGGCATCTGCAAGCTGAAGTGAGGAAAACCTCTATTAGCGAGGATCCTAGACAAAATGAGAACCCGGCGCCCTCTAGTGGTACATCAGACAACCTGCACCACTTTTGGGTCACGAATTTCCTGAGGAAAATGCAGTCTACCGTCTACCATCCCCTTTCCAAATAACGCCCAACCCCCAAAGCTCCAAACACTTAGAGTTGTTTTGTAACTCCTTTGGTACAAAACCAGCCCTGAGCTGATGTGAGGTTCACTCAATCTTTATTTATCCCATTTCCTGTTATATTTTGCTGCAGGAATATCAATTCTAAGTATGGGATGCAACCTCACTAGAGGTGTTACCAAACACATGATATATATACACATGGGTGGCAAAGAGCCCATGAAGTAGGAGAAAATAAGCTTCAGTTAACCTCCCATCAGCCTGTTCCCCTGAAGGCCGGAGAAAGGTAGTATGACAACTATATGCGAGGGCTGTCCAGACCAAATCCAGCCAATGCCAATGTAACGAGAACTGTTTGCACCACAACCATGTGACCTGGCAGCCAAGGAGAGTGGACTGGAATGTGCGTGTGTAAACAATGACAACTTCACTGTACTAGTCAGTGGGGGTGGTAGACGCTGTTGAGAGAGCATGTGTACTGTGTGGCCGTCACATTCAAAACGATTGAGCAAGTAGAGCAATGAATCTCCATCAAATTTTGCGTTGTTTGAACATTCCTCTGCAGAAACTATTTGGATGATTGAGAAGGCTGCAGCTATGGGCAGCTGGTGACTGCCAGCTTCATCACAACAACGCACCCACTCAGGCATCACGTCTACTGGGGTTTTGACAAAACATCAAATTACTCAGGTGATTCAATCCCCTTCAGCCCAGATTTGGTGCCCTGTGACTTCTGGCTTTTCCCAAAACTAAAATCGCCTTTAAAAGAGATTTCAGACCATCATTGAGATTCAGGAAAATACAACAGGGCAGCTGATGGTGACTGGGAGAACTGTGTGAGGTCCCAGGGTGCCTACTTTGAAGGGGACTGAGGTGTCATTGTTCTATGTGCAATGCTTCTTGTACCTTATAACTTCTTCAAGAAATATTTCTATTTTTCATAGTGCATGGCCACACACCTTCTGGACAGACCACATACATAACCAGGCAACAGTGCTCATGATAAAAATGACCCAGAATGGCAGGCTGCACCTGCACTGGGAGGAACTGCAAGCGGGGCCTCCAAGGTGTGGGTTTTCCCTGAGTGTGGTGACTTTCTGCGAGGGCCCTGGCAGCTATGTCCATGGCACTCTCACGAGAGAGACCAGCCTCTGAGATCATGGGGCTTCATGAGGCCAGAGCAGCCCCTACACCCAGATGACATGAATCCCTTCTCTTCCCATGAGCTGTCACCCTCGGGGACAGGCTGGACCTCTGTGTGGCCTGCCACAAGGACTTCCACAGAAACAGAACACCCTGCTGAAAGCTGTGACCTGTCCTAGGGCCTTCTGATTTGGGCTGGGGGACAAGCGGGCGGTCAGGAAAGGCTTTGCCGCGTGACCCGGTTTGAGGCGCCACAAGCCTGGGCTCTCATCCCCGCTTCTAGCTCTGGGACCTGAGTGAGTTGCTATGATTTTCTGTGTCCTGATTTCCTCAAACACAGTGGGATACCATGAGCAGCCACTTCACAGGATCTCCGTGTAGGGGAATCACGTTACACAGGTGCCGTGCTTACAGCGGTAGGAAGGCAGGAGGTAGGTACTCCAATGTTAGTGGGACTGCCATGGGTGTTGTCAGCATTAACGGCAGGTGGTGTGGTGTCACTGGAGCCTAGAGTGTGGGGGAGGGGTCGCCAGGAGGAACAGGAGTGAGAAGGTGATGAGATCGGCCTGGGAAGGCCTTGGATTCCCCCCCTTGGGGTCTCTGAGCTTTGTTCTGTGCAATACAGAGCCACTGAGGGTACCTGAGGATGTGTTCCAAATGGTGCACCCTCAGGTCACCACCCATACGGCCTGCTGCCTGCCCAGCCCAAAGAACACCCCCCAGCAGCCTGGGACGTCCCCTGCCCTGCTTTTCCGCCCCTGGTCCACACTTGTTATCCCAAAGCCAGAGCTGAGTCTTCTCTCCCACAGTCACCATCCCCACCACTGTTTTCAAGTCCCGCCTGCCAGCCATGGCCCTTGCCAACAGTCTAGACCTGGGCACAGGAAGCCCCACCACATGACAGTCAGCTAAGCCAGGTCCTTTCTGGGGCTCAGTCTAGGGAAGTGCAAGAGACTGGCCCCAGCTCTGAGCCTGGCCCAGGCCTTACCTGAGCTCCCTTGGGGACAGCCCTCTTCTGAAACTCAGGCCCACCCGGGGGTGTCCTGCAGGCTGCCCCCTCTGCTCCCCACTCTTTAACCCCTCAATGGTCCTTCCTTAGGTCCTACTTCGCCTTTCAGGCCACTCGGAAAAATAAATCTGCTCCAACAAGTTAAAGGATTCTTCCTCTTGGAACCAAAACCTGTCTGCAGGGCCTTTTGGAGACCAAGCACGCAAGCAGGGTTGTCTGACGAAACACAGTTTGCCCAGTTAAATTTGAGTTTCGGATAAATAACAAAACTGTTAGTATAAGTATAACCCATGCAACAATCGGGGCATATTTACATTTTAAAAGTTACTTGTTGCTTCTCTGAAATTCAAACTTAAACAGGTGGCCTACCTCTTCCTTTGCTAACTGCAGCCACTCTGTCCTTCACAAGGCCCTCGGGAATCTGCTCTGGCCTCTCTGCCTAACGGCGCCTCCTGCGACACCCGCCCCACCTGCTCCCCGCATGCCAATCCTCAAGTACCCTCCGTCCAAAGTCACCTGCCCTCACCCTGTCCGCTCACGACTTCTGGGCTCCCCGGTGCTCCATGCAGAATCCGACATTGGTACCGACTCTCTGTGCCCCCCCCAACTCTGGCCGGGATGAAGGCTTCCTGAGGGCCAACCCCGCCTTATGAATCCTGGAGCCCCTGCAGCCAGCCTAGAGTCTGGCATGGAGACCAGAACAAGATAGTGAAAGCTAATATTTACTGAGGCCTTATCACGCGCCAGGCATTGGGCTGAATGCCACGCACGCGTCGGCCATTTCATCCTTATAACCACCACTGGAAAGGGGAGGAAACCGAGGCTTGGAGAGGCTTGGAGCACCCTGCCTAGGACCCTGCAGCTCTCCAGTAGCAGGACCGTGAAGCCAGACAGCCTGACTCTGAGGTCCAATCTCTGTGATTCTCTCCTATCAATGGAGAAACTTACAATGGACTAAATATCTTAGCCCAAGGGAGCAACTCCAGCAGAAGTTTAAGAGGCTGCCTGGGAAACCAATCAAGTAGGTTTCTGGAGTCTCCCCCCACCCCACCCCCAAATAACACAACCAAGACAGCTACCAGCTGCGCTGAGGCCCTGTGGGAAGTAGGAAGAAGACGCATGTCACGTGCAGTAGAAGCAGGGCGAGAAGGCAAGTGTTTCGAACCGTCAATCACTGAACCGGACTGAGGAGAACACGTGTTCAGGAGGGCAGGCATTTCTGGGGGATGAAGGAGAAGGCAGAGGGAAGGGTTCACGGAGCAGACAGGATGAGAATGGGACCTGGAGGATTTTGAGAGAGAGCATTCCCAGTGGGAAGGAGCTTAGCAGAGAGGCAGTTAATTGAACAGAACAGCCTATCCCAAAATGCGGTCCCAGGCTCAAGTGCCCCCAGAGCCAGAGAGGTGATGAAAATGAGTAAAGGGGGGGGACTCTAGGAAGGAGGGTGAGAGCTGTTGGACAGAGGCCCTGGGCTGGCAGAGGGCCCAGCCCCCAGGTCCAGCTGGTTTCTGCCCAGAAGTGACCCTTACCCAGGCGGCTGAGCCTCAGAAACCAGCCCAGACTGGTGTGTCTCCCTGGGCTGGGCGTCAAGTTCCCAGTCAGGACACAGGCCTGGGTTGTGGGCCAGGTCCCCGGTTGGGTGTACAAGGCCAGTCCGTGTTTCTCTCCCTCTCTTTCTCCTTCCCTTCCCCATCTCTCTAAAAATAAATAAATAAACTGTTTTTAAAAAAATAAGTAAAAAAAAGAAATCTGCGCCCTGGCTGGTGTGGCTTAGTGGACTGAACACCGACCCGTGAATCAAAAAGTTGCTGGTTCGATTCCCAGTCAGGGCACATGCCTGGGTCACTGGCCAGGTCCCTGACTGGGGGCATGAGAGAAGCAACCACACATTGATGTTTCTCTCCCTCTTTCTCCCTCCCTTTCCTTCTCTCTGAAAATAAGTAAAATCTTTTTTTTAAGTTTTTATATGTTAATTTCCCAATTTCTAAAAGGTTAGAGGACAAACAAAATGTGTCACCCTGAAGAACACACTTCTGCAGCCTCTGCCCTGGGGACGAGGACGGATTCGGTGGGAGAAGAGGCCCAGGGAGGCAAGGCCGGAATGGTGGGCAGGGCGAGGCAGCTGTGGGGTTTGAGAAGGGAAGCCTCTGAAAAGCAAGGTGGCTTGGTGACCGAGAGGCCAAGGGCAGGAGCCAGCAGGGGAAGAGCAGGGGGGAGGGAGGACTAATGACGCTGGAAGGAGACGACTCCACCTCCCTGCTTTGAGTCAGGCGACCAGATGGCCCAGTGGACACTTGGCAACCACCCGGTCACATGCTCCTGGGGAGGAGGCCCAGGAATCTGTTTGCAGAAGTGGCCCCAGGTGCTTCCTGTCTCCAGGAGGAGGTGGGTGCACTGAGGTTTAGACATTAGGCAACATTGTCCTGGAAGGACTGGCAACAGGGAAGACAGAACATCTGGAAAAAATCCTTATCTAGGTGGTAATTACTAGATGTGGGAGGAGTTGCTGGAAGGAAATGCACCTAAGGTACAGCCAAGGTCGCCAGCCTCAGGACCGCAGTGACACCTACAACGGTGGGGTGGGAGAGGTGGGTGCAGCTGCTGAGATGAGGCTGGAAAGGTACACACTGAGGTTACATGCAGGTGCACCAGGCTTTGCACAAACCTAAGGCACGAAAACAACTAAAACAGACTGGGGGTG